ACAATTTTAAAATCTATCATATTTTATACGCGATAAGAAAAACGAACCCAATAACAACCAATCTTTAAGCTCTAAAACGATTGATTTTTAAAAAAAAAATTCGCTAATCCTAACTCGTGGATGCATTATTGTCAGAGCAGTTGCAGTTCACACAATTTCAGCAAATTACCTAGCAAGTTCAAAAAACCGAAACCAACTTTTAACTCTTCCCTCACTCTGCGAGTGAACAACCTAATATCAAGCTACGAATGAGTTTGTAAGTGTAGGTAAGGAGAGTAAGAACAAAATGTACCTACAGTTTCTCGAAAGTAGAATCCCACAACTGCACAGATGAGAAACAACACTAGAATCAGCACCATAATGGCCATGTACTGGTGATAAAAAAAGTTAACATAATGCCCATGTAATAAATAAAGTTACATTATATATATATATATATATATATATATATATATATATATATATATATATATATATATATATATATATATATATATATATATATATATATATATATACATAACTTAAGATTTTAGGAAAACCCCTCCCTCAATAACCAGGTCACCCCTATTTCACTGTGATAATCTTACAAAGTTGTTCCACACCGGAGTTTCTTTCAGGCATACCGTCCCCCTCCCCGAAGAAAGTCTACCACCCCCCGAACGAAATGGAATTTATATAGAAAATATATACTTTTAACAGTGTCCGCCCCCCCCCCTGGAAATTTAAATCCGACCCCCCCCCCCCCCCCCCCGAAAATTTCAAGTGCACCCCTCGGAGAAAAAAGTCCGGAAGAAACACTGTTACACACACACACACCATTCCCCTTTCCCGAAACACATACACACAAGACTGGTAGTTGGCATTTTCTATAATGTCGTTAACGAATTACTACTCCATTACTTAAATTGGTATCTGTAACTGGTTGTTGTCACGTGATTTAAAAAGTTACATAATTTTACCAAACTCGTTAACTGAATCTAAGAAATCATACAGAGCTTTTAGCTCTAATCACATTTTTATTCTTCCTTTGTTTATTTTTAAAAAAAAAACAGCGGTGCGATACAATATTTCATATCCAGTTCCTCCATAAAACCACTCCAACCCTTCCCCCCCCCCCGTGTTTCTTCCAGACTTTTTTCTCCGGGGGGCACTTGAAATTTTCGGGGGGGGGGGGGGCGGTAGACTTTCTTCGGGGGGGGGGGGCGGACACTGTTAAAAGAATATATTTTCTATATAAATGATATAAATTTCATTTCGTTCGGGGGGGGGGGGGGGGAATTTACTCTGCCCCCCCCCCCCAGCCTAAACAAAACGAAATGGTGTTCTACAATGCTGACTTACACCGTATTTTTTAGCACTAACAGACGTAGAGAAAAATATGACGGAGTAAACACAGATCAGCAACTTTTCAAACAAGAATGAAATAGAGCCGGGTCAGTAGGGCAGTAGAGCTCATCTGTCGACGTGGCCGCAGTACATATCTCAATAGAAGGGCATTATATTGTCGGCACTATGTTCAACGCTATGACCAGTACAATGTACAGTACTATGCCCAGAACTATATCCAATAGTATGCCTAGTACTATGCCCAGTACTATGTACAGTAATATAACAGTACTATGTCCAGCATAATGTCCAGTGCTATGCCCAGTGCTATGCCCAGTACTATGCCCAGCACTATGCCCAGTACTATGCCTAGTACTCTGTCCTGTACGATGCTCAGTATTATGCCCAGTACTGTGTCCAGTACTATACTCCGTAGCTATGACCAGTACGATGCCCAGTACTATATCCAGTACTGGGTCCAACCGCCGCTGCCCCTCCCCCAGCCTTCAACTCTGGCTACCATCAGAATTGGGTCCTATCTCAGACTTTCGGAAATAAAATTACGACTTACGGTGTACGTGAGTGTAAGGTGGAGGGGGGGGGGGGAGAGGGGGGGGGGGGAACGGCAGGGGTCGTGGAGGGGTAGACATTAAGTTAGAGGTATGTCATTCATAATTTAAAATGTTTGGATCATTCTTGTAACTAACAAAACCTAATGCTAATGCTTAACCCCAACCCTAGTCCATTACACCATAATAATCTTATTAATAAAAAAAGAATATATCAAGACCATTAATATGGAAAAACCACCCGGTCCCTCTATACCTAAAAATATATTGCTTCTACCAATCATTCATGATATATTAAAATAACCGTAGATGAAAGTTTAAAACTGAAGTTAAACGCTTCAAAGAGTCTAAAACAATCAACGAATACCAGTTGTATATCTCTGCGTATATCTCGATCCTAATTTTATAAACATCCCTCCCCTGCCCCGATTCTTCCCCACCCCTCTTCCCCTCCCACCACCCACATCCACCGTCAACACATCCTGTTGAGATTCAATACAAGCATTAGCCTCTCCTCGATACAGACCCTTACCTCCCCCTTCTCCTCTCAGTATCGAACGCTTCTATTTTTAAATTCGACACCAACGAGTATCGATATAAAAAAGATTACTTTGTAATCGCCCCTGTCTTCACGGCAGACGTGAGCAGGTATCGGCCAATCACACGCACGTGCAAAGTGCACACCGTCCACTTGTGGTCCGCTCACGCACCTTGGCCTAATTCTCGCCAGCCCCAAACACCCAGCAAAAGTTGGGTGGCGTCTGCTCGTTTTACAATGATGACCGGAAGCTTGGCCGAAGTAAGAATTCACAGGGATATTTAAATCACAGGCAGTGTTTCTTTCAGATATTTTCTCGGGGGGGGGGGGGGAGCACTCTAAATCACAGGCAGTGTTTCTTTCAGATATTTTCTCCGGGGGGGGGGGGAGGAGCACTCTAAATCACAGGCAGTGTTTCTTTCAGATATTTTCTCCGGGGGGGGGGGGGAGGAGCACTCTAAATCACAGGCAGTGTTTCTTTCAGATATTTTCTCCGGGGGGGGGGGGGAGGAGCACTCTAAATCACAGGCAGTGTTTCTTTCAGATATTTTCTCCGTGGGGGGGTGTGGAAGGGGGGGAGAGGGAGCACTCTAAAACACAGGCAGTGTTTCTTTCAGATATTTTCTCCGGGGGGGGGGGGGGGGAAGCACTCTAAATCACAGGCAATGTTTCTTTCAGATATTTTCTCCGTGGGGGGGGGGGTGGAAGGGGGGGAGAGGGAGCACTCTAAAACAGGCAGTGTTTCTTTCAGATATTTTCTCTGGGGGGGGGGGGGGGGGGCATTCATAATCACGTGGTAGTGTTTCTTTCAGATATTTTTCTCCAAGGGTGGGCGGTGGACCACTTGAAACTTTCCAGGGGGTGGAGGCGGCCTTAAATGTTTAGGGTTGGGGGAGGGGGATGGACGGACACTTGTTATAGTATATATTTTTGTTTGTATATAAATTCTATTTCGCTGGGAGGGTGGGGGTGGGTAGTGACCCGCTTCCTTCTTCCCCTACCGTTGAGATGTCTGACATAATCTCTGATCACAGGGGGTTGTGTATTGTAAATAAGAAATAAAGCCCCCGCGATCTGGTATTTTATGCTATCTGGCTAACCACAGTTGTTAAATCATTCTTATAGAAGTTGAGATTCCCTTTATTAAAGGTAGATTGTGCAAGTAAGGTAAAATTAAGACAAATATATTTTTCTTTAATTTAAAAAAAGGGAATTAAACGTGAATACCATAAGGACCTAAGCAGTGGCGTAGCGAGGTCGGGTGTCACCCGGTGCGGCACTTAAGGGTGTCACCCCCCAGAGGCATAGAAGCCCTTCCCGGGGACAAACTTTATAATTTTCGATTTGCACCCCCCCCCCCCCTCAAACTTTCGATTTGCACCCCCCTCAAGTTTTTCTCTATATATTTTGCTATTTTTTGCCTTGGTGTCACCCCCCTAAATGGTGTCACCCGGTGCGGTCCGCACCCCCCGCCCCCCCCCCCCCCCCCTCGCTACGCCTCTGGACCTAAGTAAAGAAGCAATATTAATTTGGTCGGTACTATCCGTTAACATTATCTTTGATTGGATTTTTTAGTGTACTTTTGTTTAACCGGAATTTTCCGGTAGATATTTTGGTAAAGATAACAATATAAGTCTGACTGTGAGCTGGGGTTTCCGATCATCGTTTATAATTATAAATACTTGATCTCAACTTGAGCTCAGAACTTAGCTCACATATCGCTTCCTAGCTTAAACGAAACCAGAGCTGGCGCTTAAGCTCATGATCTTAGCTCAGATATAAGCTCAGAGGAAACCAGACTTAAGCTCATACGTCTTCCAAATTGAGCTCAGACTTTACCTGAGATTTTTATCGCATTCTTACATTCATTCAAACCAAGAAGTGAGCTAAGACTTTCACAGAGTTAAGCTCAGCCGTTAGCTGCAGCTCCAACTTGTACAGACCCGTTTGTAAGACGGCCGTGGTGACACCAAATATAACATCCCCCCAACTCACATACAGCAGCTAGAGTGAATATCAATCTCCCACTCCCCATACATTGTTTTCTTGGAGACTCGTGAGTCTTGAAGACTATTGCCAAAAGTTTGCCATGGCGACTGATCAGCCCTAACATAACAATAGGTGTCAAGGCAACTCACTGGATAACCTCTCTTCATACACATACACACACGCACAGACACACAGACACACGCACATGGTTGCCATGGTGACTGAAACCCCTGAATAACCAAAGAGAAAGGGTTGCCATGGTGATTTACCAGCCCCTAACAAGTCCCCTCTATTACAATGGTTGATAAGGCAACTCAAAACAAACCCCATCAACACAGACAAATAGTTGCTAAGGCGGCACCAGTTCTTGAAGGCATCCACTTCAATACTATCAGTTGCTAAGGCAACTCATTATCAAACCTATTTAACAAACACACGTGCACGCATACACGCTTACACGCACACACATGCATTCCAAGGCAACTCACTAGCAAACCCCTCCTCGCACACACACACACACACACTCACACAGACACACAAACATGGTTACCATGGCGACTCACCAGTCCCAGCAGGCCCCTACTCTCCAGCAGGCTGCCCAGACACCCGGCCAGGGAGATGAGACTCACGACGGAGCCGCTAGTGATGAGCATCAGACACGCCTTCTCGTGAAGCTCCGTGCCCGTCAGGACCTGCATCTGCTGGGCCCCGTACTCAGAGGTCAGGGCCCAGACACCCAGGCCTATGGCCATAGCTCCCAGTATCTGCACAAGAGGGAGAGGTTTGTTGTTAGCGTCAGACCCCACAAGAGGGAGAGGTGTGTTGTTAGCGTCAGACCCCACAAGAGGGAGAGGTGTGTTGTTAGCGTCAGACCCCACAAGAGGGAGAGGTGTGTTGTTAGCGTCAGACCCCACAAGAGGGAGAGGTGTGTTGTTAGAGCAGACCCCACAATAGAACAGGGAGAGATGTGTTGTTAGCGTCAGGGAGAGATGTGTTGTTAGCGTCGGTAAAGATGTTGGCATAGTTCGAATAGTTACATCACAGATTCCCAATCAATGGGTCGCGACCCAAGGGAGTGGGTGGTTTGGGTGGGGGTGGGGGTTCCCCAAAGGTTTTAAAAATACTGTTTTAAATAGCGTTAAATATCCCTTTTTCAAATGTATCAGATTAGTTGGTCTCTGTGTTTTTTTTAATGAAAAGTGGTCATTACGCGAAAAAGAAAAGTTGGGTACCTGCTAGTTAGAAGTTTTAAGACAATTAAACTGCTAGTAAGCCAGGACTTTATATTGTTGTGAGTAGTTTGTTACTTTGTGTGTGTGTGTTCATGTACCATGAGTTAGCTTACTGCTGGTAATTAGATATTTGTGTACTGCTTGGATTTACAATTCTCAGTTACTATTATATTTAAAGAAAAAAAACTAATTTTGTTTTTATTTTCTTCCAATGCATTTAAAAGCAAGATATTAATATGATTTTTAAAACGTTTTCCCCGCTTTAGTATCATGGGACTAGTCCCTTTATTACAAAACTAATCACCTGCTTGCGATATATTACCTTCATGTAGATGAGTATTAGGCCTATATGCCTTTATTTGTGTATTTCAGCTTTACTTAGTATGAACATCAATCCAGATCTGAATGAGTGATCGTTACTATCCAGTTGTTTCCTTTTTTAATCGTATGCAGTAGTTTTAAATTAACGTATGTAGTGAATAATTCAATTACTGATTAGATTTAAAGTGAGATTTTATTGTATTGTCATCGGAAATGCCGTTTTACGAGAAACTAAAATATCTTTAATAGAATTTAATTAAAAATTAAGAAACATGATTTGATCAAACCCCATCGCATAGCAGCAGACGTTTCATCTACAGAAATTGCTTGTAAAAACTCGTGTCCACTAAAGCAGCACCAACTCTACATTGTTCATTCATATGTTAACATGCACCAATATATAGGCGAGCTTTAAATAAACGAACTCTTCATCTTTAAAACAACAAAACTGGCTCCATTGTTGCAAAACAAATGCGTCTATTGTTCTGCGATTGGCTGGCTAAATAAACAAACTACCTTTTTTTTTGCCATCGTCTGGATTTGTATAGTATTTAACCGGCATCCCGACTTTAAAATCTTTATTATAAATCAGATATTTTTGTTGTGTAAACAAAAAATAAATAAAACAAAACAACTACATTACTATGAAAATCAAATAATTGTTTTGCAGCTCACAATTATTAAAATCTTTAAAATACATTCAAACAATTATTTAAAAAATAATACAACTACATTAAGTAAGATGTAGAAGAGGGAATCTAGCCTTACCAATATGATGGCGTTGAAGACAACCAAAATATATTTCATCAAAATGTTACACCAGCCTTCAAGTGTCATCTTGTCACGTCACTGTTCGTATAGAGCTGAAAAGGTTAAAACATTAGTGACAGGAATAGGATTTATCAGTCTATACACCTTACCTACCTGCCTAATTCTCTACCTACCTAGCTATATATTTATTTACCTACCTACCTATTTATTTACTTATCTACCTACCTATCCACATATTTACCTACATGCCTACCCACATATTTACCTACCTACCTATCAGTTTATTTACTTATATACCTACCTACCAACATATTTACCTACCCACCAAGCCAAATATTTACTAAGCTACCAACCTACCAATGTATTTACTTACCTACACCTACCCACATATTTACCTACCTAGCCAAATATTTACTTATCTACTTATCAATTAATTTCTTGACCTATCTAACTACCCACTTATTTACGTAACTACATACACATTTTACTACCTCACAATACACATATTTACCTACCTACCTAACCACATAATTACCTACCTAACCAACCATATATCTACTTACATATTTATCTAACAACCTATTCAGAGAATGGCCTACTTAGATGCCCACATGTTTACCTACTTGCCTAGAATCTATCTATCTGTAACCTACCTACCCTCCCCCTAAATATCAACCTACCAATTGTTACCTATCCCTCTACATATCCACCTACCAACCTGTAACCTACCTGCCCCCCTACATATCTACCTACCAACCTGTAACCTACCTGCCCCCCTACATATCTACCTACCAACCTGTAACCTACCCCTCTACATATCCACCTACCAACCTGTAACCTACCTGCCCCCTTACATATCTACCTACCAACCTACCTGCCCCCCTACATATCTACCTACCAACCTGTAACCTACCTACCCCCTTACATATCTACCTACCAACCTACCTGCCCCCCTACATATCTACCTACCAACCTGTAACCTACCCCCTACATATCTACCAACCAACCTACCTGCGCCCCCCCCCCCACATATCTATGTACTAACCTGTCACCTACCCCCACCCCTACGTACACAACATATCTACCTACCAACCTAACCCCCTCCATACACACACAACATATCTACCTACCTACATGTCTGCATCTCAATCTATCGACCAAACCCCCAGTTAGCCAATAGATTCTACATTCCTCTCTGCCACCCTATTGACTGCATAAATATTTGTCCGGTTTCTATTCATCCAATCTGCCCACCCACCCATCCACCCACCCCCTACCCCCACTCTCCTAACGTACAAGTAAAGTCACTTACCCTATCATTATTTCCACAAATCGCCTGGAAATGCATTAATTCCAGCTCGCCAGACCCGTGTTAAATATTGTACAAAGGCAACCTGGCACATCGCACTGGCCAGGTAAGTTGTCTAGAGAGCGAGAAAACGTCTGGACGGCATCAGGGTATTCAAATCTCTGGCCAGCTATTTTTAGAATCCTGAAAGAAGTGGATGTTAATACCTTATTTTACTCCCCTCGAGACACAAGATAATTAATTGATTTCTACACTAATTGAGATCTCCATGTTCTAGTTGATTAATTTCTAAAACATCATTTAAAAATAAAATTAATTATTGATTTTTACTATATATAATAGTAAACGGATTATACTATTAAGGAAGGAAACAAATATTTTCATTTTACTTTTACTTTACTTTCTCGTTTGAAAAAATACCAACGTATTTCTAAAGTTTTTTCTTCGTTTAGGTTTCGTATTGTTTGTCTTATTTTTATTTAAACTTTCTTCACGAAAGAGGTAGACAAAAAAAAGTGGCCATACAGGTTGTGCCCGTAGACACACAGGCTGGATGCTGGTTCTCTACTGCGGCTCTAGTAAACTTTACATAACAAAGCTCAGAAAGAAACTCTCGGTTCTCTGCTATGTGGAATTCATGAACTCAACGAAACAGCCACTACAAAAACTTATTATATATTGGAGAAAAAATTATATTCGAATTGGGCTGAGTTCTAACAGCAAAATTATCCATAAAAATTCTTCTCATTCACGACATAATGATCAATCTGAAAGGACTAATTACCCTTGTTGAACTACCCAGATGAGCTTCGAACGCGCGTGGGGGCTAGTGTGAGTGTGGGTGTGAATGTGTGTGCGTGTGTGTGTTGGCTGAGCATACAAACCTGATAATATCCCCAGGCGAATATCAACAGCATTTACCATACGTAAGTAATAACAGCTTAATTATATTCCTTTTAATATACGTAGAAACGGCCGTTTTTTCATTACCTACATCACCACAAATGCGAATATAATCCAAATTTAAATAACCAACGCCGTTAAATCGTTTACTTTTTCCCCACACTGGCCACAGTCCGATGAGAATCCGTTAAAGAGGAGTTATCGATCCTAAATCGTTATTTTTATTTATAAATTCCACATTTTTGAATTTTTAAATATCGAGTCCGATTGGTAAAAAAAAAATAAAGTAATTGCTATGGAGATACTGGCTGAATTGCGCACGAAGCGGCAATGTCAGATTTGACTGCGAGTAGATTGCACGATTACCTGAATCGATTCCAGTTTCCACTCGCGAACAATGGTATCGAAATCGCACTTTTACCCCATGCCGGCACATCAGTAGTCAGTCGTCCATATCAGGGGTTCCCTACATGGTTGAGTTTACATCCCACACAAAGATAAAATATCCTTTCTCGAAATTATTTTTCCTTGAAGTTATATTAATCAATAGCAAAATACAAATCATAAAAGTCTTCTTCTCCTTAATTTTTAACTTTAATTTCAAACGGGATTTCCTCCAACACAATTAAGTATTACGTGTCAACTTGTTGTGCACCTTATGGGCCGTTTACTCCGATTTCAGTTTGCTTTTCTTTTTCTATTTCCTTCCATAACCTTTGTCAAACCAAGAGCAACTTTATGATTCTGGAGTTGTCTCTCCTAGATGGGTTAAGTCCCTTGCTTTCGAACCTAATCTCCCCGGGGGTTCGAACTCGGGACTTTTCGGTTTAGTAGCCATGAGGTTTAGCGACACGACTACGCCGACCAAATTAGAAATATCTCGTAAATATAGTATTTTTTTTCGCTATTAAAAAAAATGACCAACACTCCCCCCCCCCCCCCCCCGGGTACTTGTATACCTGGGTGGGGACCACTGGCTCTGTATGTTATTGGAAACATAATCAATCGGGAACGATCCGAACTCGTCGCGATCTATTGCCAATACCGGCACTTTGAAGCGAACATTGAGCCATGGATTTTATTGTAGTGAAAGAGGTGGTCAGCGATAACTCATTTGGGTCTAAAAGCTCGCTGGAAAGAAAAGAAAACGGTTGACATTTTTTACTAGCTAAATTTTAACACACATTGCTTTGCTTCGTTAGCTGTAGAAGGCTATGATACATGACGCTAAATGTTTTTTGTTTAAGTGCTCCGCACACACATTGTGTAATGTGTAATCCACAAACACATTTCACAAAATGTGATACCCCCACCTCACACATTTCACAAAACGTGATACCCCCACCTCACATACATTTCACAAAACGTGATACCCCCACCTCACATACATTTCACAAAATGTGATACCCCCACCTCACACACATTTCACAAAATGTGATACCCCCAACCACACATACATTTCACAAAATGTGATAACCCCACCACACACATATCACAAAGTGTAACAATGGTTAACAATGGTTGACACCCCCGGGTCGACACAATGTGGTGTCCCCAACCACACATATTCCGCAATGTGCGACTCCATACAGTTAATGCCTCGAAAGCAGCTACTTTGATCTGTATTAGTTCATGTATCACTATAAACCATTTTGAAAAAAAAGTAGTTCTTACATCGAGAAGATCTACCAGCATTTACGGAGTTAAAACCACCCTTTCAGTTTAGTTGTAGGCCATGTGAAGTAATCGTCTCGTTAATTTAGCGAAAACATTCATAAATAAACCCTGACCCCTACCGCTATGACCCCCACTTTTCAGCTCTTAGAGTTTAAACGGGTGCATAATAAATGACCATAAACAAACATGTACGCTTTAAGCTGTTTCATTCTATTCAATAATTGAGTGATGTGTTGTTGAGTTTCTATGATTATTCCTCCCCCTTTTCCAATAAACGTCTCTAAGCCGCCCCCCCCTCCTCAACAGATTAGGTCAGCTATTTATAGATACCGCCCTCGTTACTTTTGGGGGCCTATGTGAGCTTTCTCGGTTTCTCTGAGGAGGTGGGGGTGTGCAGAGGAGAGTAGACAGCATGCAGATAACCATCATCATTATGTAAGAGGATGGTTGTGTAAAATCGTAATAATTAAAGCCCATGATTGTTTAAGATTGCGATTGTATAAGACCATGATTGTGTAAGATAATGATTTTGTAAATTACGATTGTGTGAGGCCATGATTGTATAAGATCGTGATTGTGTTAGACCATGATTGTATAAGATCGTGATTGTGTTAGACGATGATTGTGAAGGCCCACAGTAACATAAACCACGACCGCATACACATCCCGATAATTAAAAAAAAATTGTTGCCATTTACTGATTCAACCATTTTCGCAAAGGTCCTAATGGTACGAACGGATTCGATGTACGAACTGTTAAGCCTATTTTCAAAGCAAAAAAATTATAAACAGTTCAAGCATTAAACCTAAAGACTGATAAAAAAACAAACAACCGAAGTGAATTGTTTGGACATCACCAATTTGGTCGCAAATATCATCAGTCACGTGGGGTAGGCTCGCCACTCACGGCGCCATTATGGTGACATGATTTCTGGTCATTGGACCGGAACCACGGATTACATCATCTCCAGGTGGGCTGTGACACCTGTACACAGTACAAAGTGTCCTGTCGTGTTGATAGCTGGGATAAATAGGTGGGGGAATTCAAAATCCTGACCCCCACCCACTCTATCTCTCAAACACACACTGCCACCACTCACGGGCACAAACATACAATTTTATATAAATATATATATATATATATATATATATATACATATATATATATATATATATATATATATATATATATATATATATATATATATATATATACATATATATATATATATACATACATATATATATATATATATATATATATATATATATATATATATATATATATATATATATATATATATATATATATATATATATATTATACGCGCAAAAGACAAAATAATTAGAGCTAGTATTATGGTGGAGGGGAGTCTGGGAGTGTATGTGGATATGGTGATGTTGCTGAACCTATGCCAATTCATCTGTGATCAGGTGTCAAACTCCTAACCACTTGTAGGTAGGTGGTTATGTTAGGTACCACCCCCCCCCCCTTCCCCAGGAGGATCCCATAATTCCAACCGTCGTACATTAAGTAACAGCAATGGGCTAGAACATGTTAGTGTCACTTTAAAAAAAAAATTGTATGTTATAAAACCACACTCTGACGTTTTAAATGTCTGAAAGTGTATGTGTGTATATGTTTAAAATAATTGAAAATTCGAAACAATCCTGTCAACACTACTAATGAATAATAGAAAAGTAAAGATATTTCCAACCTCTGTGCCAGCAATCAGCTTTTAAAGTTTTCAAAGAAAAAAAAAACTACTATTGTTAGCAATAGATGGGTTGAAGATGAGATAAAGACTTTCAAATCAGTTTTACGAGTCATTTGTGAGATTGGATTTTTCTAAAGTCTGTTACATCACTAGCAATAGAGAGAAAAGCGAGGCGGGTGTGGGTTAGTAAGTCCATGATTCTCATATCTAAATACAGGCATCAATAGAACGGCTTGTGAACTATGTACAGTGGTATTGTGTAGTAGTGTCAAAATAGTTTATCCAGAGGCGTAGCGACACTTCCCGGCGCCCGGGGACAAACTTTCGATTTGCACCCCCACCTCAAGCTTTCAATTATTTTTCAAACCCATTTTGTCGCCCCTAAGGTCGGCGCCCCGGGGACATGTGTCCCCCCCGCCCCTCCCCCCCCCCCTCGCTACGCCTTTGAGTTTATCTGAGATGTTGAGGTAGTTTAAGATGGTAAAACACTGACAGTAAACTCAACTTTAATTTAGAAATTTATTTAAAATTTTAAACACCAAAAAAAAACATGTTTGTAGGTTCATTTTATATATGAATAATTTTTTAAACAACTGGATAGATAGCGTACCACAGTATTAGTGAGTACATTTTTAACAACTTTTTTAATAGCACAAAGGATCTAAAAATGTTGTAAATAAATGTTTCAGCTAAATAGGAAAGTTTGTCGTACAGTTTGTCGTAATAATAACTTGGAGATGGTAAGTCATTTTAATAATTTATACTGCTTAAATTGTCATAACATTGAAAAAAGGACAATTAATTTTTGTAAAAAGTGACCTACAAATCTACGTGATATTTGATTTAGAAAGATTATAAATTAACTTTTATATTTAAAAAAATAAGTTATAAGGGAACAAAATATTTACACAAGTCTTCATTCACCTACATTTGTGTTGGTCCTCCCCAGTGGAGAAACAAAATTTAACGAGGAACTTCTTAAGGGCAGTGGCGTAGCCAGGATCGTCTCAAGGGGGGGGGGGGGTTCAATTTTTACCCGGGGACAAACTTTTGATTTGCACCCCCCCTCAGACTTTTGATTTGCACCCCTCCCCCCTCAAACTTACGATTTGCACCCCTCCCCCCTCAAATTAACGATTTGCACCCCCCTCAGACTTTTGATTTGCACCCCCCCCCCCCAAACTTTTGATTTGCACCCCCCTCATACTTTATACATATATACCGAGGGGTCTATGGGGGAGGGGGGGTTATGACCCCCCTAAACCCCCCTGCATACGCCACTGCTTAAGGGTGGTTGATTTTTGAAAAAAAAATGTTTGAGATGAACAAAAAACTAATTACATTTCTGGCGAAAAACTTGTTTTTACAGTTTATTCCAACACACAAGGTCTCTGACTTCAGTAAACAATCCAGTTTTTTAACTGCCTTTTGCATAAATTGTAGAATAGATATTCAGTTGAAACACATTTATTGTTGTGGATTTAGTAAAAGACAATTAGAAACAGTTAAGTATATTGAAAAATATACAACAGTAATTATAAAGATTGAAATTTTGACAGCTACTTCAAAAAAAAAAAATTCAGTATTGAATTTTTTTTTAGTATTTCAACACTTTATAAGTACTATTTGGTTAAATTAAATTAAAGTGAAAGTTTAAATTATTAGGTAGGCCTACTTTATTTTAATACAATAAATAGTAATAACAATTTTCAAAGAACTTCAAAGAATATATCCGCAAATATTTCATGTTATTTTAATTTCATTAATTGCTTGGGGATAAGGGTAATATTTTTTAATATAGGCTTTTTTAAACTTGGTTTTTATCTTACAAAATATTTCAACAAAGATTGTTTTACATAAGATGTTACACTTTGTGCTTGTTTCTGCCAATTTCCATACAGATACACACGGAGAAGATGATGGCCAAAAACTGAAATATCAAACAGAAAATTTTAAAGTAGAATACATTTTTAAATTAAATCAACAGAGAACAATGGATCTTGTTTGCAAATGATTTATGAAAGAAGAAAAATTACATGATAATGGAAATGGAAATACGAGATTTATTAAAAATAATTCAATAAGTAAAGGGAAATCACTCACCATAACAATAATCACAGCTAAAGCAATACCAGCAATGGCCAGGATGTGGGGCTTTAGTTTATCAATGAGAGAATCAAGGCATCCCTGATGTCAATAGAAGGGAGGGAATTTAGTCATCTCATTCAAGTAAAGCAGAGTAACAAAAACTCAATGGGAAAATTAACCAATTTCTCATTAGTAGTGTCTAGAGTTAAAAGTATCTCAGGTTTAAAAATTCACTGATTGCAAACCATAATTATACAATGAAAATGTCAGATGGCAAGGTGCATAATTTACCCTGTGTCACACTGTCCATTAAGCATTTTAGTGTCTTAAACACAAACAGATTGAAATATCGATTATTGAAGAGAACCATGCCCAATAATAGACTCTTCCAAAAATGGGTATGTTAGGTTGTTAGTAGTATTATTATCTGTAGTTTTATGGTTAGAAATTAGGGTTAGACATATGCTAGAACTAAGTTAGGGTTAGGGTTAATATTGACATTGGCAAGCAATGTGTGTGCTTTAGTTAACTACAAGACTTAACTTTTTTAAGAAGATTCTATCATCGGACACGAAAATATAAAAAAAAAAATCACACAAATTATGTACTTACAGTGGAATACAAAGCATCATTCTCTGTTCTAACCAACGAGAGATCAGTTTTAATTGGTTTAAAACTATTAGTGTCAGTATTTAGCTTTTGACATTGATCCAAATTAACCTTATTAATATTTGGATTGCAGCAGCTGGCAGGCACATACACAGCTGAAAAACAATTTAATAAGTATTTGACCTTCCGTTTTATTTACGACTCTAAATGTATTATATGAGAGATATGATTTCGATTGAACAAATATATATATATATATATATATATATATATATATATATATATATATATATATATATATATATATATATATATATATATATATATATATATATATATATATATATATATATATATATATATATATATATATATATATATATATATATATATGTATATAATAGTATGCATGTGTATACATAGTATGTATGTGTGTGTATAATATGAATGTATATGTATGTTTAATATTAATATGTATGTATATATGTATTTGCATGTATATAGGTAGGGCTATATATATATATATATATAGGTCTATATATATATATATATATATATATATATATATATATATATATATATATATATATATATATATATATATTTGTTTTATGTATACTAGCATGAAGACACGGGTATGCAAAAGCGAATCTTTTTTTTTAAATATAACAATATGGAACAGAACAAAGCCAAACACAAACACAAAAGAAAACAAATGCAAACGAAAACGAAAACACAAACGCAACACGCAAACACAGAAACAAACACAAAAGAAAACACAAACAAACGTAAATGCAATTAAAAGCACGGATGTGGTGTTCACTCCACGGCCATGACGGAATGACTGACACACAGTCTAGCGGCTTATATTATAGACACAATAGTAATTGAATAACTGTAAAGAAAAGCGTGGGACACCATATCATCTATTGGATACATTTACTAATATTTAGGAAGAGACTCACGCTTTACTTTCTAGTTATTTAAATAGTAGTGTTTTATTATATATTTAAATAAAATCAATTATTTTCTCCTTTTTAGTGCAATATTACATAAGAGGTTGTTATTAAAACGTTTTTTTTTCTCTATATTTTTCAGTACTTTAAAATGGTCATTACAATAGAGCTGCATGACTAAAAAGTATTCCGTACCGAATGAACATGATAATGCGCGTATAATAGTGCCACCTTACTACTAAAAAGTTTAAGACAACTTTTATTATTTCATAAAAAATTAATTAGGTATTCAATTAAGTCAAATTAGACGTCAGATTGCATTGTCATTGTATCTTGAACCACATGCAGAGTTTCAGAGAAATTGATTGGTTTAAGTGCTCGAAATTTCACACGCCAATTTCGATCTACTCCGAGAGACTGATAGACAGATAGAGGAAGCAAGTTAAATAAAAGCTTGTAATAAAGAATTTTTTTTAACACATGAAAGAAAGGATTTAATTTAAAAAAAAAGAAAATACTGTTTAAGAAAACGGTAGTTACTTTTGTTGCTGTTCATGAACCATTCGGTTTTCTGATACAGGAACCACGATGTGCTGCTGTTTAGCCCACCACTTACACCACAGCACTTCAGCTGGTGAGCAGAGAATTTTTTAAACGATATCAGATTTATCTACCTAATTATTTGACAGTTATTATAAGTCTTCACTTCTCCCCTCTCACTAGAACCCCACCTCTTTCTCTCATTAATTCCCTCCCTTCCTTCTAACTAAACCCCACCCCTCCTTCTCATTAAACCCCACCCCTCCTCATTAAACCCCACCTCTCCTCATTAAACCCCAACCCTCTGTCATTAGAACCCCACGCCTCTCTCTCATTAAACCCCGTCCCCCCTCCCTCTCATTAAATCTCAACCCTCCCTCTCATTAAACCCCGTCCCCCCTCCCTCTCATTAAACCCCGTCCCCCCTCCCTCTCATTAAACCCCGTCCCCCCTCCCTCTCATTAAACCCCGTCCCCCCTCCCTCTCATTAAACCCCGTCCCCCCTCCCTCTCATTAAACCCCGTCCCCCCTCCCTCTCATTAAACCCCGTCCCCCCTCCCTCTCATTAAACCCCGTCCCCCTCCCTCTCATTAAACCCCGTCCCCCCTCCCTCTCATTAAACCCCATCCCCCCTCCCTCTCATTAAACCCCACCCCTCCCTGTCAGCTGACCCCCATATATAGCGATCAAGCCTACTGCCTTGCATGACTAACCTCCTTCTGCAGTTTGTCCCACACATCAGTAACCAGTTTGTTTTCATCATTGGTTGAGTAGCTGACGCTGTACTGTTTTATCAGTGTTTCCTCCATCGCCTTCCCTATCTTCTCCTCCAGCTGTGGAGACAAAATTGGAGTGATACAGTTGATGACGGTAGGGGTCAGAGTAGACGGGGGTCAGGGTAGTCGGGGTTCAGGGCAGACGGGGGTGGGTGCACTTTTCAGCTTTTTCTTATATAATAATCCGAGGAGGTAATCTATAAACGATGTTACACTCCTGGGGGGGGGGGGGGGGGGGGGTGGGGGAAGCTTTTGTGACGTGTGTGTGTGGGGGGGGGGGGATAGTTAAGAAAATGTGACGTCACGTTGTTGGACAGTTGACGTCACGCTGTTTTAAAAACCCGGGTTTTGATAGAAATGTTCGTGATTAAAAAAGTGATTGGTGATTTACTTGTTAACGAACGACTTACAGAAATTAAACTAAATAAATATAATTGGATGAATAGTCAGCTAAACTGTGACTACGTATTAGTGGAAGGAAGGGTCTGTCCTTTTATGATTATGTGTAAAAGTTACAAAACAACATGATATCGTTCGTATGGTTTATGCGATGGATGATGCGATGGATGATGCTATGGATGATGCGATGGATGATGCGATGGATGATGCGATGGATGATGCGATGGATGATGCGATGGATGATGCGATGGATGATGCGATGGATGATGCTATGGATGCTGCTATGGATGCTGCTATGGATGCTGCTATGGATGCTGCTATGGATGCTGCTATGGATGCTGCGATGGATGATGCGATGGATGATGCTATGGATGATGCGATGGATGATGCGATGGATGATGCGATGGATGATGCGATGGATGATGCTATGGATGATGCGATGGATGCTGCTATGGATGATGCGATGGATGCTGCTATGGATGATGCTATGGATGATGCGATGGATGATGCTATGGATGATGCGATGGATGATGCTATGTATGATGCTATGGATGATGCTATGGATGCTGCGATGGATGATGCTATGGATGATGCGATGGATGATGCGATGGATGATGCTATGGATGATGCTATGGATGATGCTATGGATGATGCGATGGATGATGCTATGGATGATGCGATGGATGATGCTATGGATGCTGCTATGGATGCTGCTATGGATGCTGCTATGGATGCTGCTATGGATGCTGCTATGGATGATGCTATGGATGATGCTATGGATGATGCTATGGATGATGCTATGGATGCTGCTATGGATGATGCTATGGATGATGCTATGGATGATGCTATGGATGCTGCTATGGATGATGCTATGGATGCTGCTATGGATGATGCTATGGATGATGCTATGGATGATGCTATGGATGATGCTATGGATGATGCTATGGATGATGCTATGGATGATGCTATGGATGCTGCTATGGATGATGCTATGGATGATGCTGTGGATGATGCTTTGTTTCGTTGATTGACATGAACCTATTTTGCTAAAGTCTTAATTAAAAAAAAATTAAAATTAATCTGATTAGCTTCTAATCTACGGCGGTAAAAAATATTTTTTTTTGTATGTTCCCATATCGTGTTAACAAGGTTTATGTACAATGAGAACCTACCGTGTCTCTGAAAAAAAATCCAAGAGAAGCACCAACAACAAACAGAATCAAGATCAAGATCATAATCACAAAGTACTGAAAGGAAAATAATACATGCATTAAAATATTTTTTTTTAAATTGAAAAAGCTAAATATTTATCTCCATAATATTATAACTGAATACAATTTAAAATGGACTTACAATTCCCAACAGTACTCTGTTTTCTAGAACGGCACCTAGGAATCCAAGAAGGGCGAGCACCACGATAATTGAACCGCCCACAATTAACACGATACAGCCCCCTTTGTAGAGGCCGCTACCAGTTACTGCCTTCATTTCTTCTGCTCCATATTCAGATGCGAGTGCCCATGCGCCAAGACCAATGGCAATCGCTCCAGCGGCCTGCAAAATAATACTATTTAATATAATAATAATTTAAAAAATCCATAAAATACTGGGACAAATTTTTTAGATGCCATACGTTTTATTTATTAAATAATTAATTGTAATTATTTAATTTGAGTTAATAAATTCTAGCTAGAGAAGTGTATATTTAAGTTATTAACTAGCCTACATGAAACAAGATAGGTGCATTTTCTTACCAGAACAAGGAAGTTAAGAAAAGCCAGGAAAAATTTCATGAACTTGTTACAACAACCCTGCACACCCATGTTGACAGCTGGTTAAATATGTCAAGTTGATCGTTGAAACAAATATGACAAGTTGATCTGTTGAAACAAAAATGACAAGTTGATCTGTTGAAACAAAAATGACAAGTTGATCGTTGAAACAAATATGACAAGTTGATCTGTTGAAAATAATGACAAGTTGATCGTTGAAACAAAAATGACAAGTTGATCTGTCGAAAGAATATGACAAGTTGATCGTTGAAACAAAAATGACAAGTTGATCTGTCGAAAGAATATGACAAGTTGATCGTTGAAACAAAAATGACAAGTTGATCTGTCGAAAGAATATGACAAGTTGATCGTTGAAACAAATATGACACGTTGATCTGTTGAAACAAATATGACACGTTGATCTGTTGAAACAAATATGACACGTTGATCTGTTGAAACAAATATGACAAGTTGATCTGTTGAAACAAATATGACAAGTTGATCTGTTGAAACAAATATGACAAGTTGGTCTGTTGAAACAAATATGACAAGTTGATCGTTGAAACAAAAATGACAAGTTGATCGTTGAAACAAAAATGACAAGTTGATCGTTGAAACAAAAATGACAAGTTGATTGTTGAAACAAAAATGACAAGTTGATCGTTGAAACAAAAATGACAAGTTGATCTGTTGAAACAAAAATGACAAGTTGATCTGTTGAAACAAATATGACAAGTTGATCTGTTGAAACAAATATGACAAGTTGATCTGTTGAAAATAATGACAAGTTGATCGTTGAAACAAATATGACAAGTTGGTCTGTTGAAACAAATATGACAAGTTGATATGTTGAAACAAATATGACAAGTTGATCTGTTGAAAATAATGACAAGTTGATCGTTGAAACAAATATGACAAGTTGGTCTGTTGAAACAAATATGACAAGTTGATCGTTGAAACAAATATGACAAGTTAATCTGTTGAAACAAAAATGACAAGTTGGTCTGTTGAAACAAATATGACAAGTTGATCTGTTGAAAATAAAATGTACTGCTTTGTTTAAAATATAACAAGATGATCACTTTAAAAAAAAACAAGTTATGTCAATATATAACAAGATGATCTGTAAAAAAAATTAGCTCAAATTGATTAAAAAATGTTGGAGCTCTTTTAAAGGAAACGATTCACCACTTAAGCCCAACCAAAGATGTGGCGAGCCAGTGTGATAAGCTGACAGTGATACGTCATAGTAAAGGGAAGTTTGTTAAAGATAAGGGTTAGTGCAGTTTCCGTTCGGTGGTGTTCATAAGTTACTTCAAAGACAAGGGGGGGGGGGGGGGTGGAGATGTGTTACGATTGTGGATTGAGGTAGGTGGTGGGGGTGTAGAGAGTATAGTATTTTTAATTGTAAAAAAAACTATATTTAAAAATGTACATTTCTGTTAAGGAAGTTTGGATTTTCTTTTTCCAAGGGGGGGGGGGGGGGAGTGTAAGAAATTTTTTGAGGCAGTGGTCTAAATCTTGAGCTTGTGGTAGCAGCGTGTGATAATAAAAGGTAGAGCAACAACGAAAAAAATTGTGGGACTCAACAATGGTCGACTTGGTGCTAGTAAGGTCTCACGTCTATGTTGCTCAGAATGTTTGCGAGATCTAGCCGTATATTTATCTGGCTGTAACCTTTTAATGATAAATTCTGTAATATTTTAATGATATATTCTGTAATATTTTAATAATAAATTCTGTAATATTTTAATGATGTTTTCTGTAAAATTTTAATGATAAATTCTGTAATATTTTAATGATACATTCTGTAATATTTTAATGATAGATTCTATAATATTTTAATGATAAATTCTATAATATTTTAATGATAAATTCTGTAATATTTTAATGATAAATTCTGTAATATTTTAATGATGTATTCTGTAAAATTTTAAAGATAAATTTCTGCGACATTTTTATGATAAATGTAACATTTTTTGTAGTATTTTATGTGTAATTCTAAGACATACTGTAACATTTTACTATTAATTATTTTCAAGTTACCTAAAATTGTATTATAAATTCTGTAACATTGTAATGATAGATGTAATACGTTTGTATTGTTTTATGTGTAATAATAGTACATGATAGGCCTACATTCTTTAAATTTGTATAATGATTTCTGTATCATTTTATATACATTGTGTATCATTTTATATAAATTGTGTATCATTTTATATAAATTCTGTATCATTTTATATAAATTGTGTATCATTTTATATAAATTCTGTATCATTGTATGATAAGTTATCTAAAAAAAATAATGTATGCCAACTTCTAACATCCGGGTTAAGCGTGAGATACAGATGAACAAACCGGAAGTCAGGTGTAGTTACCTGGTTAAGGTGACCTGGTTGCTACCTGATTGTTGATACATGTCCCCTCGCAACCCACCTGCCGGGAGGGAATCTAGCTTTGTATTGTACGGCATTGGCTCAAAACTTGAGGGTAAGGCAGTATTTCATCGAGGGAGAGGGGGGGGGGGGTGAACTAAATTTTCGGTGGGTGGGGAGGGGGACGTGCACTTGTAAAAGTATATATTTTCTACACATATTCTATTTAGTTCGTAGCGCGGTAGTCGGCGCCCCTGCCCCCCCCACCCCCTCCCACAACATAAAGGAGATGTCTAAAAGAAACACTGGAGTAAGGGAGGGATGGGTGAAGGACAAATACAGGAAATACGCCACAGTGTTGGAAAGTCAGGGGAGAATACGAATTGGTACTTAGAGAAAACAAGTTAATTAAAAAAGTCTAGTGACATTTATGCGCAATTTCCTTATGTTATCTAAAAATAGCTCTGACGTATAATGTTGGGGTGCGTTCAAGCTAGAAGAACGATCGGTTTGTAGGTGTTTATGTAATTTTAAAATTTGTGACCGAACGAGAGGATATTTTTGAAAACTTTCTTCGGCAATATTGTTTTAAATTATGGCAGGAATCGATTGGTACATGTTTCAAGTCGCTAAGTGGTCTGGTTGCCGAGATATGGGCCAAAAACTGCATTTTTTCGAGGTTTTTTGGCTTTTCCGGGAAATACATGAAAGAAACCCGGAATTTTTATGGCCTATGCTCATTCTCGTAACTTGCTTAACATAATTGCTTTTGGAACTAGTCATCGATATTGCTTCGTTGAGGAGGAGATACGACTTAGAGCCCGGACACACATTCATCCATACATTCATTCATTCATCCATCCATTCCCAGAAATGACGAGTTAATAAACGCAATTCTCCAGAATGGAAATTGCGCTAAAAATTATATAAAGCCTACCAATACAACATGCATCAATATCACAGAAATAGATTTAAAAAGCGTAAAAGCACCATGATTCAAATTATATAAACTCAAATAGTCAATGACTATATATATACCAAAGCTGCTACTACAAATTACATAAAATATAGGTAGATAAAATGTATATAGAAGTGTGATGCCTGCAGATAATTATATTAACGTTTGATGATGTATAGGTATATGTACGGTTATAGTCTCAACGCTTAATTACAATCATTTTTTTAGCGCAATTTCCATACGGACAATATCTCCTCCTCAACGAAGCAATATCGAGGACTAGTTCCAAAAGCAAATATGTTAAGCAAGTTCCGAGGATGATTGTGGGCCAAAAAAATTCCCGGAATTCCTTCCTGGATTTCCCGGAAAAGCCAAAAAACCTCAAAAAAATGCAGTTTTTGGCCCTTATTTCGGCAACCAGACCACTTAGCGACTTGAAACATTTACCAATCGATTCCTGCCATAATTTAGAACAATATTGCCGAAGAGAGTTTTCAAAAATATCCTTTCGTTCGGTCACAAAAAATTAATTAAGGAATTGCGCTTAAATTGTTACTAGACTTTTTATTAACTTTTTTTTTCTAGCCAATACCCGATGTGTTGGTGTATTTGTAGTTTTGTCTTCTTGTTTGTGTGTCCAATGAATATTTTTGTATTAATGTGCTGGTGTGCCTTTGTGTGAGTGGGTGAATGTGGAAATGTGTGTATCTGAAATAGAAAAGTAAATAATCCTCATTAGACTTAGCGATCCATCGGACAGGTGAAGTAGAGTTAATTTGTTAATTTGTTTCTTGATCTCGGCATGAAGAGAAAGTGTGTTCGGCACTTTGCCCAGCCGCCTTTATTTTCCCTAACACGAGTTAGGTACCCATCAGAGCTGGGTGGATTTAATGACAGGGAGGGTGGGTTCCAATTATAAAGGAGGGATGGGGGTTTAATGACAGGCATTTATTGGGGTCTAATGACAGGAAACTGTACGCTATAAGCTGCGTGGGTATACAGCAGCACCCTTGGTCTACGGCTCAAAAACAAAACTGTTTTAAAAATTTACAATGTACAAACCCAGGGCTAGCAGTCTAGAGCTCTAGTATTTGCTGTAAGGCTGTTTAAAAGCATGTAAGCGAGACGGGGACCCAGCACAAGACGGCCAGTGTTGCTACTGAAGCACAATGACAGCTAGTCTTATGTCACGGCTCTTGTTGCCCAGTCAATGCTTGTTGTTTGAGGCATGTCACCATTAATTGCCAGCTAAGTCATGCCCCCCAATCCCCATCCCTGAGCGATATAATCCCCATACAAGTTCATTACCTTAAAGTAGCAAAACCAAAGTTAAGGAATACACATAAAAATAACTATATATATATATATATATATATATATATATATATGTATATATATATATATATATATATATATATATATATATATATATATATATATATATATATATATATATATGCTTTAACTGTATTTAAGAGGTCTTACATTCTTTGTAGACCTACCAAACAAAGGAAATGATATGTTTTAAGAGAAAAAAAAAACTACCTCGCAAACGCATTTGAAAAAAACTTTAATGTATTCGATAATTACTGGACTGAGGAGGATTAAACAGAAAATAACAACCGGTAAGATACTAATCCGATGATTAATTAACAGTTATCTTCACTATTCTGCTGTTTAATACAATGATAAATAAACAACCTACCTAAATGTTGACAGTCCTAAGTAACTACTCAAAAAACCATCACCAACTTACCTCAGTGTTCACAGTCCTA